CCATTCATCAGACTAGAAAAAGCCACTAAACATTGAGTAAAGAGACATTTCACAGCACACACAACCTCCCTTAACCATGAATTCATTAGCATGAGGGGATAAAAATGTGTAGGGTGTCATCATCAAGCTCATCAACTTAAAAAAAGATATCTAAATCATTAGATGAAGTGAAGGCAAATTTTTCCTCCACATATCAGTTTCCTTTATAGCAAAACTTTACAGGAAACAACAGAACAAATAGCAATTACAGAAAAACAAACCCACAGTGATCCATATGACTGAGACTGCCACTGTCGGCACACACACAGGTTTCTAAAGGCTTCCACAAACCACTGCTTCAGTACACAACACGATCATTTAGCCTAACCTGGTAAATTGCTCAATTTAAAATCTCAGACTACTGGCAGACTTTCTGCCCCGGTTCACAATTTTGGCTGAAGGTGCTTCTGGTTGTGCATTGTAAGCAAAAAATGTGCCTGTTTTGCAAAGTGTGGTCTGCTGTCCAGATTGTTGAAAGCCCTTGAACGAAAAAGGATCTCAAACAGAATTATGCAATTATGTTGGCAATGGCCTTTCATAAGGTGAAAACATGGGTGATTTTTTACCAAAATCACCCCCAAAAAGTTGTGTTTCCTGTTTTACTTTTTAACACCATCCTATTTGCATGACTCGCTGTAAAGAAAAAGTTTATAATACAATGCCAAGTAACTCCTAATGCTGCAGCACAACAGGCTTGGTTGTATGATATATGATTAAGGACAGTATCCAACTGGAACAGTCCACAGCTAAACCTAATCATGCCTATGCTACCACAATACAGCCAGTAGTCTTCATCATACCCTCTCCCTGTATCAGTATATGCAGTTTATAATACATGTCTGAGAGGAAGGTTGGATTCCTAATCTTGCACACTTCCATTCACCTATGTATATACTGCAAGTACCACACCCAGGCCTTCCCTTCTCATATCTCTCTCACATCCCCCTTCTGCCTCCCCATCTACACCCTTGCAGCAGCTCCCTAGCTCAATCCTGGCATTAGGGAGGGGAATTCAGGCAGCGTATGCTCCCAGTATTTCACCCCTCTACCACATTCATTAGGATCGAACCTAACCACTGAAATATACATAAAACTACTGCTGTACATAGTTGTGCTCTGTTCTTGTTTGCCTTTTCAGTTTTTCTGTGATCCGTTACTGTTCATCAACAGCCCTATTCTTAAAACAATAAAGTCTAAACAACTGAACACACAAAATAGGGGTCTCTTCTGTGACAAACAGAAGAATAGAACAGATTATTCAAAAGGTGTATCACTAGGTTCAGGTTTTGACTTACTATCGCTGTATTTCATGTTAGGAAATCTGACAAACAAAGAAAAGGTTTCCATGCCTTATTTCACTTTTCCACTCTAGCATTGTGTTTAATACCTGTATATACTATAGTATAAACCTTGCGTTAAATACAGTATACACAAGCAAATTGCTATGGTCTAAAGCACAAGGCTTTAGGGGGAGTGGTGGCTCTGTGGCTAAGGATCTGTGCTTGTGGCTAGAAGGTTGCTGGTTCAAATCCCACGGCTGGCAGAGGAATCCTACTCTGTTGGGCTCCTGAGCAAGGCCCTTAACCCCAGCTGCTCCAGGGACGCTGTACAATGGCTGACCCTATGCTCTGACCTCAAGCTCCTCTCCTTGTCTGTGTGTCTCATGGAAAGCAAGCTGGGGTATGCGAAAAGACAAATTCCTAATGCAAGAAATTGTATAGGGCTAATAAAGTGATCTTATCTTAAAGGAACAGAAATGGTGCAAACAAAACAATGATGGGTTATTTCCATATGTTTCAATACACTGGCTCAGCAGGCCACAGCTTGTCCTGGTTCCTTTGGTATATCTGTAGTGCCTGTGGCAGAGACTTAAGCTCACAACCCACCAGTTTTGAGTCCTGAGATTTACCCACTGCTCTATGCCGCCTTCACAGTAAATGAAGATGTCATGTAGTAAATCAGTGGCTTGTGGAAGCCTTGTGCGTGTACTTACCACGGCAGCCTCAGTAGCAGGAATCACGGCGGTTTTGTTTATTCTGTATTCGCTCTTTGTTTTGTTTTTATGAGTGTCAGTATGAATGGCTGAGGTTCAGGAAAACCACACTGAACCTATTGACTCCAGACTCTTCGACCTGAGCAGGATTTTTCTTCTCCTGATGGTTGTAACTAGGGAGGGTCCTGCTTTAGAGGCTAGGTGAGCCTCAAGCTTTCATTTTACACTCTTCGCACACATGTCAACAAGTTCATGTTTTCTGACGAAATCCTCATTGACTTGCTTCAAAGAACTACGCAACCATGACGGACAATATGTTTTTTTAGGAGAAAGCTAAGCAAGTCCCTGTTATGCTTTTTCCATAGGTAGTTCAAACAAGTCCCTGGGCAGCCTGATATATGCAAAATAATATTTAAGGACAAACCGAAAGTAAAAGTGGCTTATTCATAAGTTTTGAAAGTAATGAATACTGTAAAACACAAATACACAGAAAAAAGAAATAAAAAATAAGTTTCAAGGGAGGCACTGGGGCCCTGGGTTCAGATCTGGACCTGGGATACTACCTTTGTGGAGTCTGTATTATTCACATGGATTTCTGGGTGCTCTTGTTTCCTCCCCCAGTCCAAAGAGAAACTGGTAGGTTAAATGGCTCCTGGGCAGGTTGATCCTGGTATGAGGAGATGTGTCTGTATCTGTGTGTGCCCTGCAATGGACTGGCGTTCTGTCTAAATTGTATCCTGCCCTGCGCTTGTTGCCTGCCAGGATAGGCTGCAGTTCCCCCACAACCCTGAATTGGAAAAAGTGGTTATAAAATGGATTGATGGGTAATATGAACTCAAGACTTAAGGCATGCTTAGCGTCACCCACATGGTTTGAGGGTGACAGTCTAGCTGTTTGGACCAGACAGTTGGAAAACCAAGCATGCTGATGGGGCACATAGGAAAAGAATGCTGGGAAAGGAAAGTCAGAAGTGTCCTGTACTAATACTCCAGTAAGCAGATGAAAGAGATTGATGGGAGATAGGGTATTTTCCTCTAGTCTCTGTGCATGAGGGGTATGGTTGCAGTGAGACAGATCAGACTCTCTGTATAGTTTCTGTATGTTTCAGATTTCACACGCTGCAGGTTCTTCTGTAAGCCAGCATGAGACACTACATAAAAACAAAAAAAGTGGCAAAACTTTTGAAAAGATATATGGCTCTAGGAGCATTGAAATCATAGAAACGTGCTAAAAGATCACCTCTCCATCTGTTTTCGATCAGTTTTATCACTCCCACTCTTTAAGGAGATTAATGATTTTTGATTTTAACTGAGATGGGTTGCTTGTTCAATCCACGAGTGGCACAACTTTAAAAATCGTTCTGGACTGTCTCAGTTCTTTGCCAAGACATACTCTGTATCAAGGTTGTCTTGTAACTTGCAATACAAATAGCAGCTGATTTCCACCTCTGGTGTTGGCTAGTGAAGTCCCGTCAATTATAAACTCCTGAAAAGCGTAATCAAACAGACCAGGTAAATGAGGTTAAGTGTGCTCTTGAAGTAATCAATGTATTTGCTTTGGAAATCACTTGCCTCCAACTACGTTCAGCTGATCTGCAGTGTGGAAATCAGTCCCTATCAAGGTTTTTTTTCTGTTAGCCAGTGATCAGGATGGTCTTGGTTGTAAGCCAGCTGAAAAAGGTGCAGAAAGGTACTGGTGCACTCTTGAATGAACTCCTGCAACCCTGTGTAGAGGAACTGACAGCAAAAACATGCACTGCCTGACCTCAGAGTCAATAACTGTGAATCCAATCCATACTCAAAAGTATCCAGGAGAACTTAATGTTTCATTCACATTTACAGGGTCTCATTGGTGAAAGTAGAGCTATCTGGCTCTGGTGTCCATCAAATTTATTAGGGGTATTACTTAAAATAATTCCACTGTAATGCTGCCTTCACCTAGGATGACTATATTTGGTGTCTTTCTTGGGATTATTATCATCATTAATGATGACAATAATAATAGTAGTGGCAGTGTATATTGGAGTTGGCAAACAGAATTTCCAACTCTGTTCTGTAAACATCTACCTCTGCACTATCTATTATGGAAAAAAAACACCTCTTGTTGTTGTTTTTTAAAGACACCATATCAGTACAATGATGTTGTAAAGTGTCTTCACATTCTTTACATTTTTCAGGATCTTATTTAAGGGTCTGTATGGGCAATGTAAATATATGTTTGCATTGTAACTTGAAAACCTTATCCACCTGTTACAAATATGTGATTACGAAAACTAGAGAAATATCAGGAAAAACCAAGCGAATAAATCAATAAGTAAAATAAGTAATCATAACCCCCAACTTGTAAAGATTTATTCCAAGAATAGTTCTTTGTCCTCTGATACAGCTTAGGAGAAAAGAGTAATAATTAAGTTACACTGTGTTAAAACCTATTTATTAATGATGACAACTACACACTACAACATAATATAAACATACAACACACAGATACACTACATACACCCATCCTATTAAAGCATTCCAGAGGCCTAACACCCCAACCACCCAGAAAGATCCAGAATGTTATTAAAAGTATTTGACTCACATATAATGTCTGGAAAGGTCAAAAGAAGAGAAAGCTGCCTTCTAAACCAAACAGAATTGTGATTTGCGAACTGTGGTTCAATCTCTCTCTCTGCAAACCCGGATGCCACAAAATTAATGGGAACCTATCTCTCTACTCTAAAATGCACCCATTTACCAGGATAAGCCATTTTAACCAAGGGATTCTTTACACAGAAAATCAAAAACCACAGAATAACAAGCTCTCTTTAACAAAGTTCAAATACGTACAGTAGCTCCAATCTAAGCATAATTCAACATGCCAAATTTTCTACCGAATGTTATTGCTTCCCAGACCATTGTGTAGTTGTCTGAAAAGACTAAATTTATTCTCCCACTCTCTCTTTTGCTCTCTTTCTCATATCCAGGAGCAGCTTACCATCATCAAGCCTGATCTCATCAGATTTCAGAAGTTAAGTAGTCCAGGGCCTGGTCAGCATTGGAATGGAAAACCTCCAGAGAAAACCAGGCTGCCACAGTGGCGGAATTATACTAGACCAGTCCTGATGTCCTAAACCAGTGCCCCATTGTGGTGACCTGCAACACTACTATTGAAAGAGTTGTCCTTCATATGAGATGTAAAACTGAGCTCCTGATTACAACCATACTTCCATTAATGCTGCTTCTGTAAGCAATGATTCACAACGCAGCACCCTTTGTCCTGACTATTATTTTAATTACCCCTAAAACAGTCCTGCCGAAAACACCTAGAGCACACTCGCTGCAGTTGTGCAGCCTGCAAATATTTGTGGTAAAGGCAAAAGTCAATGAAAGATGATGCTCAAGCACCCAGCCAATAAGAGTGTGATCTGAGACATTTGTTTACAGTTGGCCAGTGCCATTTAAACTTGTGGATGGAAATGAAGATCCAAAACGTGCTTAAACAAAAAAAAGTCTCCAACCCTTCAGGATTAGCCACGGCCTGGCCCCTCCTGCCATATGTAGCTCCTTCCCATCTCCCACTGATGGGAAGCAGCCTCCTCCTGCTGCCAAGCGAAGGCAGACTGTGGTTAATATGCACAGGCACTGACAGAATGTATTGGTGTGTAGCCAAGCTCTATGTATTTCATCTGTAACTATATTTTCAAAATAAACTCCTTTCTCTATTAAATGGAATTTTAATTAAATTCTGTGGTACAAATATCAGTAATGACATTACCAATAGCTGCAATTGGGATGTTTGGGTGTCCCAGACAAATCCCAAAGGCTATTTTCATAATAGTAGGGGTGTTAACTATGGGGTCCTGGATAAATTCCACTCTGGGATGTTACCATCTGACTTATCTAAATGGTACCCCTTAATTCAATTGGTGAAACAATTTCTCACTTCTGCTGTGTAGTAAGGCTCTTGCTGCATTAAAGACCAACATCACCTACAGTAGGTGAGCATAGCACTTTAATAGTAGATGAAGTGGGTCCCTTTCTATATTTAAAGTGTGTGGATTTATTTATAATAATAAAACTGCAATGAACTGGCGTCTTGTCTTGGGTGTATCCTTCCTTGCACCTGTTGCTTCACCATCTGACTTTAAGCTACACAATACAATTAGTAACATAAGACCATTTACAAAAGGAGTCTATTCTGCCCAGAACAAGATAGCCATTTTAATTGTTTCCTCACATTGAATAGAAAATATAACTGATATATCATAACATATAAACAACATAAACACAACATAACACAACATAAAAACCTAAGTCGTTTTTCATAGGTTGGTTCTTAAACCTCAGTGTTTCCCATTTTTTAGATAATTAAACATAACGTGCAAGGTATTTGTCCATAATTTTATATAAATCTTATTAAATTTTATTTACTGCTTCTATACTGTTTACCAATCCTCTTTTGGCAATATCTGCAAATTTGACTTGTTTACTAACCATAGCAGACTTGAAATATAATTTTATCATGTCCTAGTACAAATTCTTGTGGTACTTCTAGAATTACATCACCAAGATTTCAGCATTCACAGCTTATCTCTAATCTTAATGTTTTGTCTGAATGAAAATAATAACCATACACGTATGTTTTAATGGCTATTCCCTTTAATTTGAGAATTAATCTTTTATAATGACCTTTATTCAAAAATATAATCAAAATGCATGTCATATAAGATAATTACTACTGTGTTTAATAGCAATTTCTTTCAGCAACTGACACCCCCATTCATTAAAACTCTTGCTTTGAGAAAAGGTTATGATTGTTTTGTCATAGTACTGTACCACCAACAGATCAAGTGACATGGACATTTTTAATCATTTGTTGGTTATTTCTTGTTTTTGTCCGAGCAAAGTTACCATGCCATTATCACAGGCATCATGCTAGCATGTTCCATTTCATCAGTTGTACAGATGTTACATAATTCACTAATGTCTAGAAGCAAAGTAACAGTTACATAGTAACAAAGTAAGGTTTGTTTGCATAGTCCTTTGCTGGTTCTCTCAGAGGAGCTGCATTAAAATCAAATGCATTCATCTTACGAGAGCAGTTGTGCTCTCTAAAACTGTGCTGTAGCTTGTCATGAAAATAGTATTCCAAACGCAACAAGGGGGTGATCAGAAAACATGGCCTTGAGAAAAATCCGGCATCATTTCATGTATGAACGTAGTTATTTCTGACTTTGAAGAAGAATGCAAAGATGGAGCTGGCAGAACAGGCAGATAGCAAGCAGACATTTACCTTGGCATTTCCATATACTTTTGCTACGCAAACAGATTAATCAACAGCATTGCAGTGAACGACCGGATATTGGACTCCAGGGAAAGTCTTGCGTGTCCTTACACTGTGACACGAATGAAACGGAGAAAGGAGACAGGCAGGGTGGCAGCGTGGCTCTCCTCGTGGCATAAGGCGGAACTTCCACAAAAAATACCTTTATTTGACCAGGGAAGACGGCCTGTTTGCACTTATAGCAAAGCTCTCATGTTGGAATCTGCCAGGCCCTTAGAAAGGTGGTTTTATTTATTTGTCGTCATTTAAGCGTCAGGACGACTCAACACCACCCATTAGTATACTGTATATTTAAGGAGCATTCACAAACAATGCAAGACATACCTTTTGACATTTTTTGCACAATTTTGTTTTCTGACAACAGAGTACTTGAAGTACTCTGCATCTGTTATAGGGAAAAGTAGAAGGTTCCACAACTTGAAAATGTGATTAAACTCAGACTACTGTGCAAAAGGGGGTATTTGTGGCTGTTATCTCCCATGGTCACAAACAGAAGTACAGTAGGAATCTATCTTTGGTCTCACAGAGTAACACCGAAGGATTACAAATGAGATGAGGCCATTCAGCCCATATAGCCAAATCATTTTAAAACAAACTTTAAATTATTTAAAGTGCAGTTCTTTCCATCAAACCAAGAAGGGGTTCAGATTTGTGAATACTAATATGATTTATCAGGAAACATAGACAGCCATCTCATTCATGCAGCTTTTTTAAGTTTGAGGAGGGAAAATCTGGTTGCCACCACACATACAAGACAGCATCCTCATCTATGATACACAAGTATTTTTAAACAGGAGACAGCTGTTCTAGGATACAAAGACACCATTAATCCAGTGATCAAAGCGAAGAAGAACCCCAGTCTTTGGGGAAATTCAAAAACATTACTGTGTTCAAAGAAATGAACACAATTGTAAGTACATCATCATGTTACAAGGAGAACACAGGGATTACCATGAAACAAATCACCTTCATCTTCTGTATATTATAAAGGGAGAGTCCATTATCTCTCCAGGCATGTAAAGAAGGCATTAGTGAATCAATACATTACAGTGTAAAGCAATAAGCCCCAAACACACAATTTCTAAAACATGGAGCTTTTATTTATTAATAGAAATAAAAGCCTATTATTCGGTAACTTAAGTAGCTTTTATATAAGTAATTTGATTATTTCTTGCTTTAATCTCAGAGTGTTTTAAGTGAAGTGGTAACACATAGCTGAAGTGGATGCAGCAATGCCACTATACTGGGGACCAGACGGAGAAGTGAACATTTACTTCACCAGTTGAATTTAAGGGGAAGGTCAGATCATATAAGCCCAGAGTAGAATTAAGCAAGGACACATGGGTTAACAATCAGTTTAACATCAGATCTAAAGGCTTGTCCTACAGCACAATCACTGCTCTCGGGCTTTGGGTTAGAAATTCGGGTCCTATAGTATCTCCTATAGGTCTAGAAAATCACATATAGACATCTGGTATGCCCATGCCATTACCAACAAGGCCCAGCTTCTGAGATGTAACAAGATCAGGCTACATGCTGGCAACACTGCTACGAGCCATCAACATAGCAGGTAGATGTGTTTAAGTCAGAGGAGACCCTGAGAGCTGCCGAGTATTTGGACTGACTAACTGACTTACTGCCTGAGTGACTATTTAAAATGAAATTGTTCCTGGTCCTTAAAATTTAAGGATGACAAAAAACATACAACTAGCACAATGCTGGATTGTGAGTTTTAGGAGCTTAGTTAAAAGTTTAAATGTCGTTATAATATGGTTGGGGTGTTGTGGAGCACTAGTTAGCATTGCTGCCTCACAGAGCTGGGGCTCTGGGTTCAATTCCTGACCCCGGGGGTGCTATCTGTGTAGAATTAGTGCGTTCTCCCTGTGTTTGCTTGGGTTTCCTCTCACAGTTCCAGTTTCCTCCCACAGTTCCAAGATGTGCTGGTAGGTTAATTGGCTTCTTGGGAAAACAGACTGTAGTGTGAGTGTATATTTGTGTGTGCCCTTCCTTGTGCCTATTACTTGCTGGGATAGGCTGCAGCTCCCCAGCTACCATGAAGAATTGGTTAGAAAATGGAGGTATGCTCGGATTATGTTGCTTTATTTTAGGATGTTTATCAAATTACACTTCAAAACATTTCTTCTGTTGTCTTTAACCTTAGAGCTAGTGGATGACACTAGGGCGCCATCTAATGTGCAGTAACATTAAAACCATTAACCATTAAAAATTCAGTGTCTTTTACTTTGACACCAGAAGTTGGGAGGCTTATACTGATCTCCAGAGGCAATATTCAATTAATTCAATATTTCTAATAAAAACTAACAAACTGTATGTAAACACTCATTAGATAAGCAATCTTTGAAATGATTTAAAAAAACGATTTTTAGCTAACTGAAATTGCCTGGACCTATTGGAAATACACTTAACTCACTGTTTATTGGGTGCACTTCAGGATACTGTAAAATAGCTAGGGCAGCAAAACGTTTTATCACAACTTTAACCCATTACAACAAGATTGTCCATTTTTATTGTTCTGTCTAAATTATCACACCTCAGGAACTATCCATTTAGTCCAGTAACTAGTTGAACTGGGCAGGTAAGAGCTGAGTCTGAGTGAAAAACTGAACAGAATGTTAATTGTATGTGCCCACCATTCAATAGTTTGAAGGGCTTGGCATTTCAGCATCTCTAATCTATAAAGAGTTTCAGCCATTCTGCTCCTCAAATCCTCTAAATTGCTTTCATGTGAGAAATTTGTAAATTAGTTACCTGATCATTCCAGAAACGTTGTCCAAAAATTAGATATGGCAAACATTGAATTTACACATATGACTTCTCAGTACGCACAAATGCAAAATGCTAATAGGATTCTTTTGAATGTTTGTTAGCAAACAAACCTTTGAAATAAGGCTATCTGAACTCATTCCATTACTCTGAATCTTTATGGAAAGGCAACAAAATTCTTTAGATAAGTATCTTTTAACCAGGCATACAGTATATGTTTCTGTTTGTGTGTCCTCTTCATGGTGCATTAAAGCAAGGAAAAAATAACCTCCGGAACCTATGAAGGTTTTTGATGAAGACCTTAATCCTGAAAGAGTGAAATGTATTACTGCATCTTCTTCAACATCAGCATGATATAATCCAAGTCCTTCAGGCTGGAAATTAGATTATTTACTATTCTTTGGAGCAAATCATAGGCATCTTTTTTATGCAGTGTTGCCCTCAGCAAGATACAGTGTTCTGGGATTTAAGATGACCATTGCATAATTTCCTAACAGTCATCTTCAATTTGTTTTCTGCATCTTAATCACAACCCCAGGACATCCAGGTTTTTTCATAAAGCCAAAACTGACAAAGTAATTTAAGACTTTTTCCTACTGGCCACTGTCCAGGTTTGTGTGCAACACATTTTAGAAAATATGTATTCTATACAGGTCATGTTTTCCCTTGTTTTTCTGAAATTTAAAATAATTTGCATCTGCTTGCTCTTTGTCTACAATTTTCAAATTCTTGGAGAAATGAGCAAGTTAAATGCTTTTTACAAATTACCCTTTTCCATCTCTTGCATTCTAATATAACCGGATTATTTGTTGCTTATCTATATATAGTGTACGTTTATCTGTCAGCATTTCTAAATGTTAAGATTCGATAAGATATTAAGCCTTCTTCATGTTAGATACTCTATATAGGACATCTTGTTTTTGAAGTACCTATTTGAAGAAACAATGGGGATTCCTTATAATTAAACTGAATCAAATTAAAATCACATTAATTCACATTCAACTCATTCCAAATTATTGTTCTTGCTGTTTTTATTGCCACAAGGGGGAGCTCCAGTTATGAACGATTATTATTTAAACGCCACTAAAACAAAACCTATGATAGTCCTCGTAAGCGTAGCGTTATAGCTGTCTGCGCAACACAACATCATATTATAAAGTTGTTGTAAGTTGATATAGCATGCTCAGGATCTAGGGCACAACAGAAGTAACAAAATTTTAATTTGCTATAAAAGCTGGTATAAGGTTTTTACCTTTAAAAAGCCTTAAAAATTAAGGGATTTATCATTACCTTCATACTGGAATTAGTACTGTGTGAAGTGCATTTCGAAAATAAATGTTATGCAACCCAATAGCATTATCAAATTAAATGAGAAATTTAACTTCCGTACAAGTGTGAATGTAATCCCATTCCATTTACCATAACTGATCATTTTTAATTAAATCTAATATGCATGTGCCTATATTGTGTGGATAACCAGCTGTACATATACACAAGCAAACTCAAACATATACAATGCTACATTTATTGAGTAGACACTTACATCTACATTGGTCTATGTATACATATGGTGTTATCTGGTATTTTTACATAAGCTTTGTATTTCATTTAATAAAGTCCTTTGCAATTCAATGAGCTAGAATTCTTCTTCTGCCCACATGATTGTGTACGTTCACAATGTGATTCTGTATTGGCAGAGACTCTATGACATAAGAAATTCCATTCAGATGCACTGTTTTCCCCCTGCAGACATTCCTGTTCACAGAATATAGAGGCGCATCCTGTCACTAGCCTTAACTTCTGGTTCATGCACCTCCAATAGTTTATTAATATTATTTATTGTTTTTTTTATTTTAATGCACCTGTTATATTTTTGGAGCCTCTCCACATTAGATACTCAGTTCTGCCTTTCATGATGTAAAACAAATGCGGTTTTCAATCAAATCACTACATTTGCTTATTTTAAGGGACATGAAGGGACATGATGTCACTTAAAGCAGTTTCAGAGAATTTTAAGTGATTGTGGATATTGTTTCATTGTATATATCACTTGGGATCAAAAGAAAAGAAAATGTGCAAAACAAGAAATACATTTTCTCCTGTAGTGTAAGTAGATAATATTTAAGTGACATGTCCAGGTAAGTCAGATTATGGCATTGGGAGTCTAGTGAAAGTTTCAGAAACCGTTGGCGAATTAGTCCTGTGTGAACCATCATCTCATTTTCATGTCCCTGGTAGCAAGAATAGATAGATTTGATTCCAGTGGTGGAGGAAATGGCCTCTCATGCATAATCTGCAGTACATTTTGCAAGTCAGTCAAGGATCAGTACTGAGGCACCTGCTAGAGATGTTCGTTTCTCAGTACTCATTGCATCAGGCTCTGATGTTGAAAGTCTGTGGGTCAGTAGCTTGAAGTCATGTTCCTCTGATTTAAATCATGGCAAGTTGCTGAGGGCTTAATGATGTTCATACAAATTCTTGCCATTATGTGGGCTGTTTGTGGGTTTCTGCAGACCTGAGAAAATGGAAAGTCACCCAGGACCCTATAAGCACCCTATATCTAATAGTAGCTATAGACGCACACATACATACATATAAACATGCATATCAGACATATCTTGAAAAGCCTAGAAAACAGGTCACTTCATAATGGTTCCCTTTAAAATATTTCAAATTTAAAATTGGTTTCATCACAAAATAACTACTTTGGTAAATATTTCTTTACCCAACACAAGCAAAACAATGAGTAGGCTTTGAATGCATCTAGTGAATGTGTAAAGCACTCCGTGAATTGAACAAGGTTAAAAGTGCTCACAGCAGCATGAATACCCGGGTTATTGTAGCTGGTGTGGGCAGAGGAGTCACAAGGGATGCCATGGAATTGCATTATAGGAATAATTACTGCATTGTTACAGCTATTAGCAGATGTTGAAAGAAACAATAAGATTTTACACATGTGCAGTCTTGTCAAGCACTACTTTCGTAGTAATATATGAAACATGCTGTCAATTAAAAAGCTAAAAATATAATTAACCCATTGATTTTTTTGTCATCATTATTTTTATTGTAAATCACTGTGGAATTATATATTTTAAGAATTTACTAAAACATGAACTGTTTCGCGTTGTAAGGATGAATGGGAATTTTATATTTTCAAATTGGAATTGGTAAGATATCATGATACATGCACGGTGTTGCAAATCTAAAACAGCTTTGGCCTTTGTTTGAAACTTTTTTTTTCCAATTTGTGGATACTAATGAAAGTGCATGAATGCAAAAAGCTATCTCTCTCTCAGTGCAATGTTAATGTTACCCAATACCTAAGTTAGAATCAGAATATTTTCAAATCAAAATGTTACTCTTGCTGTAATTATACCACTACAATACACTGCAAAATAGTAGGGTCTAAAAAACAAGTGATGTTGACACTTTACGTGGATTCATAACTCAAACAACCTGAGAATTATGTTAAAGAGTTATTGTTTAATTATAATGGAATGTATTGGTTTAGTGGATTGTAGGAATGGTAACAAAGAATTTTAGTAGTCTTCACACCACAGACAAATGTTTTGTTGTATTTCCAAGGAGTCAAAATGATATCCTTGGGGCTGATAGGTTTATTGCTTTTAAGTAATACAGCTGAAATGATTTCTTAAAAATGAATAATGGACTCCTCTTTTAGAGTTTGGCCTTTCTCACGAAATTGAAAAGCTTATACAGTACCTGTCTGGTGTTTACAGAAGGTTGATAAGTTATTCTTTTCTCTAGTATTTGCACATGAGAAAAGAATTTGCATTGCTGTAACAGTAAGAATAAGATATATATAACAATAAACTATAGTCATCATGTGCTATTAAATTTGCAACAGTTTTTGTTTCAATATGTTTAGATATTGAAACATTCTTTAGAAACTACAAATGACAATTTGGCTTACGGCACAAACTTTCATAAGCCTTGCTATTTGTGTTGCTGAAGTTATTTTTTACGTTTTCAATGTTTTACAATGTTAGCAAAATTGTGAAGTCAACAGTTTCTGTCAAAGAGCACAGAAATTCTGTGTATCTTGTTTCAAGGTTCCAGCCAAAGAACAAAGTGATTATGTAAAGAATCTGAGTTAGAGGCCAGAGAGTGGTTTGAATCAGGGGTCTGTGCTACAGCGATGTGCAGGATTTGTTTCTCCAAAAAGAATGCCTTTAACCGTCAAAGATGAATTCATAAGATGAACAGGAAGACGATTATCACAGAATCAAAACTACACAGGAATTGGAGCTTTGAAAATGCATCAAAGATAAAGTGATGTCCAGGGAAACCATGTGCTTTATCTATTCAAATACATTTCAGAATAAACTGATAAAAGTAGCACTTCTTAAAAACTTTTTTCTGGATGCAAATAAATTGGATTATTTTGTGCAAGCTGAAAACACTCACTGAATTCTCCTTTAAATATCGCTTGTCAACCTTCCTGTGCTTGATAGCATTTACCTGTCAGTTGACTACTGAAACACATGAGCATCACCACTGTGTCAAAGGGCACATCACGATGCCATGATGGTAACAGACACAAAGCTGGCTTCTAATTCTTATCTCTTGTCACATGTAAAGTTTGCATCGGCCAAAATGCCCAAAACCACAGGGGCTGCAGAAAGTCGATCCTCTGGGTATTCAACATTTTTCTAGTCAAATGTATGTCAATGATTCCCACCATTTCAGACAGACATCATTCCCAAAAGTAGTTTTCAATTTCAAAGACAGACAAACATTTCTTTTCTAAATGTTTTCTCTGACTAAATTTGCATATATAAATGTCCGCAGCTTCTTTCAGAAAATCAGGAGTGGAATTGCTTATGGAGGAAGATCTATGGGAAATGACTGACATTTTTTACACTACAAGCATGAGAACATCTTAGCTTTTCCCTCGTACAAGAAAACAAGCCACCATGTACACAAACAAGCAAACAATTGTCAATGACAGCTGTTGGACCAGTGTGAAAGTGATAGTTCCTAGATCAATAACAGGGAGCTCCACCCCTGCAGTCAAACAAGGGAAGGAATTTTCTGTGTCCTGGACAGGTTACTCATATTGTGACTCACAGAGAGACTGGAGCTAATATAACAGCTAACAGCAAGTGAACATCCACATGAGGATAAAGGTGACCTGTAATCTCATCTCCTCTTCTGACAGTTGTTCCAACCAGAAAATTACAAAAGCCAGAGCCTGTGAGATGTAAGAGATACTCCCAGAGGAAATGATACAAGGTAAAAAAAAAACAGTCTCTTAACTCAAGACAACTATTCGTGTGTTTGTGTGCTTTACTCATGTTGTGTAAGATAAATTTTAAGCATTTATTTCGTTGGTTATTTTAGTTCCTAGGCGGCATCATTATGTATTTCTTTTCATGTTTTTTCCATGTAGCGATTGTACATGGAATTTTTGTATGATTTTGTCTGATTTATTTTTCACGTTGTAAAATACAAGAGTAAAGCAACACTTTCCAGGAGATGTTCATTTTTCTTTTTCTTTTTTGCATGAAAGGCAAAACATAAATATTGGTGCGTTTCTTAAAGTAGAATATATAGCAGATCACAACAAAGCAATCACTACAGGTTAATTGTTACAAAAGCAGGAGGTATTATGTTCCACTTCCTGCTTCAGAAGGAGCTTGAGGGAGCCTTGTTATAATAAGGGTGCAGCATGCTTACACACAACTGTAAATAACAAAAATCTGATAAGAATTAGCATACTGTATTTGTTCTCATCAACTGGCAGACCTGCTGCATAGTAATACTTCTATTTCTTGTATTTGGCCAACACAATTCTCTCATCACAATTATATATTCAAAAGTGTAGTACCAAAATCCCGTCACAGTAAAACAAACTGCCTGCACACTACTACACATGCTCCACGAAACCAAGCACAAACTGGAGGAGACACAAACACAGCAGGAACCCTGGTTGTGCACTAAGGCAGAACCTAAGGCAGCTAACCATGCAAAAATCCCCACCACAAGATAAAGTTAAAAAAGAATTAAGTTGACAAGTGTATCTTCTGTAAGATAGTCTCCGATCTGTCTTATTGATAGAACGTATTGCTCTTAATAAGAACCTTAGCTGGACTGGTGTTGAATTACTGTTTTCTCTGCGGCTCCACAGGGTTTTCTTGAACAAACATACAAAGATGGGTAATGAATCGTCCAGTCCTGAAACTGCAGTAGAAAATGGAACGGACTCACAGGTATTAATGCAACTTCTTCCTTTTCCACTTCCTCTTAATGTGGTGGCAACACAAGCTGTCATTTTGTTTGAAACTGCTAGTCAGAGCTGCAGTCAGCCGTAAAACCTCTCTTGATCACACAAATCAGACAGAGCAGAACAAATGCCTTGGAGAAGACATTTTAGGAGGCACACATGGTGTGAAAAGGTAATGACAACTGCCACTGTTTTCTGATAAATACCCAAGTAAAGGGAAACTGGCATAAAAGAAGATGGTATTCTAATCAAGCCTGGAGAAAAAAAAATGTTTTTGTTTCTCTACAGAAAAGCAAAAGTAGGCTCATAACAATCCCACATGACTCTACCCATGTTACAGGCATTTATTTTGTGATAATTAATTTTTCATGCAGCACTACAAATCAGAAGTAAATGAGCTGGGATCCTGAGATTTATGAATATGTTTGTCTTAGGCAGAGCCCATTCCTCAGAAGCTTCAGAATGGAGGCATCGTTGGCCAACCTTTAACAATTTCCCTCAATGGAACTGGTGATGTGGGTATGTATGCTAAAGAATAGTCGCTCCTCACTGCATTCGTTAACACGTCAGTGCAGTACTGCTTCATGGCAGTGGTGCAAATGGTGCCACAAGCATACGATGAAATGAGAAACTGCTTGCTCAAGCTCAGGGTAAGACCTTGCAAGACAAGCCCAAGCACGGCAATGCATTACACACAAATATCAGAAACATCAAAGACAAATTGCTCATTTTTGATCATTTTTAACATGTTCAAATCTAAGTATGTGTTACCTTTCTAAGTATTGCTATGGACATCAGAACTGACAGCTAATAGATGAGGAAAAACAGAGGTTTTTCACTAGTTTATTATTAAATGTGTTCAATTGTATTTACTGTATTTGTCAGTGGATCAATGCTGACGTGTGCTCTAATGTTGACCTAAACAATTACCTGTCTTAGTAAGATACACCCTACTCACCATCACATTTCCAGGGACAGACCTTATTTTACCGAGGGCACCACACATTTCAATCAACATGATGCAAATGAAGAGAACTTCAGATTGCTATTCAAATTAGTCAGGCATAATAATTCAAAAACAAGCTCCTATGCAGTTTACACAGCTAGAAGTCTCAAAGTGTGGTTTCCATTCACAGAAATGCTTACACAGAAAGTCTGGCCTCTGCTTTTTTAAAGGACCATGTTTAGCCGATACAAAAAAAAAACCCTGAATTTAAAGTGTCCTGTACCTGACTGTTCAATTTTGTTTTAGTGATGTTACGGTTACTGGATTTACAGAATCATGAGAGGCAGACACATTACTACTGAGAAATATTTTTGGGTGAAACATGTAACATTATTAACTTACATAAAAACAAATAATGAAACTGGCTACATCACATATTTCCTGTCACTTGGAATAAAAGCCTGCAGAGATGTCGAATTTTGTGAAGTTCTGGTTCAGACAATATCCATGTGCTCACTCAAGCCTGTCCAGGCTTAAAAATATAGCCTTAGAAATATTTATATGTATTCCAATGTCTGTTGACAATAAAGAGCATTCCCCCAAGCTTATCTTCCAGTCATATTGTCTCTTCAAGAGTTGTATGTCCATTCATCCTTACAAGGTGTAATTAATATGTTCTAACTAAATAATAAGTAATTTAGGCAGTAATTTAGGGTTCCAATTTATAAGTACAACTTGGAGATAAGTTTCTTGAGTTTACTTTCAATAGGGAAATTCTGTCCTATCTGAATCAGAAGTGCATTGCATATTCTTTGTTTGCACACACAATTTAAACAAAGAAACTCCTTGCAATTCTGAATGAGACAGAACTTGGCACTTCTAGAGAACTTCTCTATAATACAGAAACTCAAGGCAAACAGTAAAAGTAATCTTCCAGAGATTACTTTATCTTGTCTTCATCATTTCTAAAGGATTCCTCAATTGGAAACATGTGGTGAGGTTATTTAGGTGGAGTGAATTTGTTTCTTTAAGTTATCTTTAATTACTGTAACCTTCGAGAGCTACTAAGAATGTTCCGTGTAAAATCTGGGTGTTAGCACTGACTTGGTAAAGCTCCTGTTTGCGTTGGCCTTATGTAAATATTTTCAATTGGATTTTAAAAAAGCAGAGATACCATTACCAGTAACTATTTGTTGATATAAGCAACATATACTGAACATTTGGTAATCTCTGAAAAGGCCTTTACCTACTACTTCACTATTAGCTTATAACTACTGCAGTTTTCTCAGATCACATTTACAAGTCATCAGCTACAGCACAAGAGCTCTGGCAGATAACCTGTTTTGGTCATACTTCAGATTACGGATTGCAAAATGACATATTTTAAATTGATATCACAGTGGCGCAGTGGTTAACTCTGCTGCCTCGCATCGCCGGGATTCTGGGTTCAGTATTGGACCTGGGCTGCTATCTGTGGGGAGTTTGTACTGAACGTTCCCCACCCAGAGTGTTCTATGCATTGCTCCTGTTGCTTGCCGGGTTAGCTACTGACTACTCTGCATTGGTAGAAACAGTTAGAATATTGACAGATGGATGGATAAATTGATAATAAGTGCACTGTTAATACCTTTGCAAAGGATGATAAATGTAATTAATTGAATTCTGCAAATATCCCTAGTTATATCACTCTATTAATACTTTAGAAATACATTAAATCTCCAAAACATTTCTTGATGAAACATTTCACCTAAAACAAATTAATTTGACCTTTATTGGCAGTATCAAAGCAATGGTTCCTGAAAAGCTGAGTCTCTTTGAAACCCTGTTTTACTCTTTCTAGAACCATTGTTTCAGTCCCATGAACAAACAACTTAAATCTACCAGAGATAAGACTAGTGTGATCCAACCTGCACCATATTGTATCCCAAACAGAAAAATCTGAAGCTTTGTAGACCAGTGAATAATATCAATAAGATTCGTTTTTAAAACAAATAGATAAAACTGCATTTCTTGTAATGTTAAAATAATATTCCTTTATGTTATCTGAGATAGGTGTGCCATAATAAATCTCCTAATGATCATGAACACTGAATCTTATTATACTGTCTTTGTTTTTCTTTTCACCCAAGATATTCTCTGACAGGTGTGCAATAGAATTAGCTGCACCAAAGGCCCATGAGCTTTGCCAAGCCAAGCTGGAAACTCCTTTAGTAAAGATTGATTAAATATACAAGCTGAAGTTGCTTTTAAGGGAGCAGTGTTTTATTTTCAACACTACACTAGATAAAAATATTAATATCCAGATTTCTTCAGCATTTCCAGAAGTGCTCACATTTTTTACAGATACATCAGGCCTACAGTTTGTCCCACATTAAAAGGTGATCATTTCAAAATCCTTCCCAACAAAAGCGGTGAGGATTAATTACCTGTCATCTTGGGACAATTCCTTGAAATTCAAGAGACTCCTTCCTAGTTTGTAGTTTTTTCAAACAATGTCACATTTACACTGTGTTTTAATATTTGTTTATCAGGGCTCTGGTATGATACTTTTTAGTAGCTTGTATGTCACCAAAAATGTTGGACACAATATGCATTGTAATAATACAACATTACAAAACAATCTATTATCAATACATTTTATATTGCTACTATTGTCAATACTGCATATACAACTATGAATAAAAAAAAAGCTTTAAGCATTGCACTGCAAATGAAACGTGTTTCAGATGTAATGCTAATTTTATTAAATGATGAAGTAGACCATTGTAGTGTGTGCACACTGAAAGTATTTAATTTTTTACTACTGTGTGCCTTTCTGTAATACCATAGACAATAGCAGCATTCACTTCTTATTCTTTGCTCAGTATTAATGATGTTAAGCTTTTAGCCTGTGTAGTTCATTGATCAATGAGCCAGGAAGCAGGCAGTGCTTTTTTTAAAAAAGTTTGCCACCCCCTAATTCTTGCTAAAGCAAAATAGAATTGTTTGTGTACACCAGCTGTCTGCACTGCTAACATGGGATAATTTACACTAATATTCTGAACAATGCAGTGAAGATTTTTACTTTTAAACTCATGTCACATTTTTCTATAATGGCCTATGTAGTGACACAAAACCTTTAATTAAATGTAGTAAATAGTCTATTTGAGTTATACAACCTTATAGAATAGAAAAACAGTGGGGTTAATAAGACAATATTTGCATGGTTTATTGAGACAATGGGGTTTGTTGTTGACTCATTAAAAGAACGAAATAATACTGCGGGCTGCAAAAACATCATTTGAAACATTAAAGAGGCACCACCCCCTAAGTAAACACGGAGAACTTTTCCACTGCACATTATAAGTGCACTGTAAATTGCTCTGGAAATAATGTGTCGCAGAAAGGAAAGGACAGTAAATTAGAAGTGATTTTGAGAGAGCAGTGAAGCCATATAAGTGTTGCAAATTTAATATACCAAGTACCGTGCATTTTTTGTGCATAATGTATATTTGTATAATGCAAGTATTATACAAAAGTACTTTGGAAAACTGCTTTTTTCAGACACGATAACTAATGTTTAAGCAAAAGCAATTTGAAGTCTATTGTAAAAATATCTATACATTATAGAAACACTGTTGAACGAGAATAATTGAAATACACTTTAGTTGTGTTGAAAATACAACCAGAACATTTTTAAAGGTTTTGGGTAAATATTTATCACTTACAAAATTAAAACAGAAAATATTGAACATAACCATAAGTTACACTGATAACATGTCAGTGTTCATGGCCTTCATGTAAAACTGCTTTACTTCTTTTCTCCACAAATCTAGTGTTCTTATAAACATCTTTCTTGTATTTTCTGTGGGAACTATATAGATATGTAATATTCAGATTGTGCCGTACAACAGGAACATATTATTTTTAAAAGAAGTACTTGAACCCAAAGAAATATTTTTTTGTTGAATGCTGGCCATTTTCATTTTAAACCACCGTAGCAATTCTCAGCCACTAATATTAGCAATTAAACCATTAAGATGGCACTTAGTAGGGACTTTGGTTTTTACTATGTTACTATGTTTTACTAGGTAACATATTCGTGCACACTCTTCCGGTTTCCAGATCCAAGGACACAATGGCATGCTTGTGCAAAGTTTACCCAGCATGTTGTGTTGTATGCACAGATTCATGCTCCTTTATGATTTTTCTGGGCTGTACTACACTTTCGAGCACAGATACCATGGTACACAACAATATCGTTCTATCATGTGTATTACAGAGCTAGCAAAGCCTTCAGATTCATTCAATTATCCTGTTAGTTGAGCACACGAATGTTGATTCTAAGATGATTTTAGAGTATGTATCTCTGGTTGCGCTATTGAATCATTTCTAACTCTTCTGTGAGCTGCTAGATTAATGCCGGCATTGTGCAATGTCTTAAATCTTAAATGTTTTCCATCGAATCAGATAATCCGATAATTGACCTCCTCTCTATTGTAGTAGACTGTGAAGCAGCTGTGCAGCAGAACAGTGCACTCCCCTCATCGCTGGATACAAAGGAGAGGAGCTCCAGGTCAGGAAAAGAGGGGGACAAGACCAGGAAAGATGCCAAGATAATGCTGCCAGCTGCCAAATCCAGTTTCTCACTGTCATTCTCCCAGCCGGTACCAGTCTGTGCTGAAGCCACGGGTGCCACTGATTCATCACCCCAGCCCCCCAGTGGCACGGTGCCCGCTGTGCACCAGACCGTTTCTCTGAAGCCCACCCCACCGCAGCAGAGCGCAGCCCAGGCAGAAGATGGGAAGCTTGGCCAAGATCTGCCGCCCAGAGATCCGCCACCCAGAGAGGCAACGGGGCAGGAGAACGGGGAGAGCAAGACCGGCTTCTTCGATAAACTTTTCAAGCAGAGTGACAAAGAGAAGGCCAAAGTGAACGAAAAGCCTAAGCAGCCACTTGCTGCCTCAGAGAGTAAAAGTGCATCGGCACCCCAGAGCTCCCCCAAAGAAGTTCAGCTGACCAATGGCCTTAAGACTGTAAGTGCACTGCTGTTAAAATTTAATAACAATCTTAATCACTCCCTAGGCTCATCGCTTTTCTCCACTGTAACTGATAATTAAAGATTATGCAACTCACAGGTAACTCATAGGGGTTAAATAAGCCACGTAGTGAATTGCTCAGCAGAGTGGTCCATCAAACTGCTGGATAAAGGAACGAAGTCCTCGGTGGTAAAAAGCTGCACATGACTGCAAAAACACAGTGCAGTCAACTACAGCGACGTGCAGGAATATCACAATGCAGAGAAGAGATCGATTTAAATGCCTTTAAAAAGCTATTCATCTTGTCTATTGTCAGCTGGCAATTCAAATGCAATGAAAAGACTTGCAGACGCAAAACCGGAATTAATTATTACTTATATCAGGGATTTTCCCAATTTGGTCCTCTTGTGGAGGCTTATGAAACAACAACAATGATAATAAACCTAAATTGTAACTGTAATCAAAAGCAAAGATTGTGTTTCCCCAGTTGTATGACTACAAGCAGTCAACAGCCCTGCCAAATTCCAAAAAAAACATTTCAGCAACTGATATTTTAAAGAAATGAAACCATCTCTTTTGAATTTGTGTTGGTGGGCTGTGCCATCAGAGACCTCTTGCCTGCAGCCCAATCTGTTTATTTGAGTACCGTAATGTATCCAAATTGCAAAATGGAGAAAACAGAAGTGTTGGCAAATGAGTCGGACTCCTGTGCCTGTGTGTTTGCATTAAAGATTAGGGAGGATCACTCTAATAATGATGTGCTTATTGAATGGCAGGAAGATTGCGCAGACTGTAAGAACGCTTGTCCAAAGAAATAAACAGTGATTTTAAAAAGGTCCATCGAAAATGTCTCATCAGTGAAAATTAAAACCTGAATATAAAAAGAAATCTTTCCCTCCTTTTGCTGCTGTTTACAGCTGACAATGAAGTATTGTTGCAAAGAACTCCATTGTAACAACAAGCTCAGTGCGGAATGATACAAATTTTCATTTTTATGGTTTATTACAGACATTTTTAAGAGTCACATGCTATCGTGTAAGCCAACAAAATACAATCTGTTTCAAGCAGCAAATCCTTTTCAATAAAACACTATAAATCTATGCTCTGCTCTTAGTGTGGACAGGATTGAATTTACAAATGCCTGTATTCATGTTCTTACTATGCAGTAGTCCAAGATTAGTGCTAATCAGGGTCTGTAAATTACTTACAGTGTTAGGTGTTAAGAAACTCTACTGAGGCCACTTGATTTTTAAAGCTAAACTTTTGGGGAAAATGCCCTTGCATTCCTCATTGCCTAGAGCACGTGCAGCTAACCAGCTGCAACATTTCTGAATAGTAATAGAAAGCTGAGACACTGCAGATTAATAAAAGAGCAATTGTTGGGTGTTTGTGTGGGCTGTGGCCTGGGATGAAAAATGTGTGCTCGCGTTTCAATGCCACGATTTACAAAGCGAATAGATTGTAATCATCCCTGTTGCTCCAGAGTACACTAATTCTTTGCTTGAGCAACAGGAGCCGGGAAACGTAAAGAAGACAGAGACAGCACTTCAAGATCCAGAAGGTAAATCCGTGAATACTCCCATCTCTACAAACGTGACAGTTGACAGCACCCTGAAAGACGAGACCATTGCAGTGGAGAGTACAAAGGAGGGGGCAGCCAGAGAAGATCAGCCACAGAAGATTATGAATTTTTTCAAAACTTTTGTAAGTCATGCTCTTTTGGTATTTCTTCTTGTTGGGTCCTCTGGCTTCATTTAGCTGATTATTTTAATTACTTTCTCCAGAATAAAGAAAAACGCTGTTCCATAGCTCCATCATTAGCACTGTACTAGTCAGAAACTGTGGTCCAAACATTAGCTGGTTCAAAGTGCATTAGAGGAAAAAAATGGCTTAAGAAGTGTCTTAAGAAAAATGCCTTTTTAATCAAAACTGACAGATTAAAAACAGTTTTAGCACTGTACTAGTCAGAAACTGTGGTCCAAACATTAGCTGGTTCAAAGGGCATCAGAGAAAAAAAAAACGGCTTAAGAAGTGTCTTAAGAAAAATGCCTTTTTAATCAAAACTGGAGGAATACCTGTTTTGGTTTTTAGGTCCTAGAGCTTATTTTCCATCTATACAGAAGAGGTTAAATGTATAAACAAATATTCCCATCAAACATGGAGTGTGGAACAACCTTATGATGATCCACATAGTTCTTATAGTTTCATAGCTAACTACAAATGGAGTTTCCACCTCGTCTTGTTATTTGGTGTCATTAGTGCTTATACAATGCCACACCATATCCAATTTGCAGCGGTAACATTATCCTGGAGTAATGACAGGAGCTGGTAAATCCACGACACTGACCTTCAGGTGATGTCAGCATGTATTTTACTGTAAATGATCAAAGTCATTGCTTGTGTGAGCTTGCTTTGTTTTGGTTAGGGTAGCTCTCATCTGTGTCTCATCCAAGTATTTCGAGAAAGGAAATTCTTAATGTACAATAGGAAAGGTTCTGAAGCTTAAACCATCTACACTTTATAAAAAGAACTGTGTTGGTTCCCAAAGTGAGCGGACTGCCATTGGACTCCCTTTACAGAGTTGGTCTAGCATAGTGCTAGAATAATCCAAACCTATGTGTGGAAAGAAACCAGATTCAGATAGTGCAATAACCTTTTGTTACCTCTGAAGTGTCAGCGTGCATGGAGAGCCTGTGAGAGGAGTTTGAAATCAGTAGGAACAAAAGAACAAGTCTTGATGCCTTGTCAGGAGTGCTATAGCAGAGACAACAGAGAATACATGTGTGGTATTCATTCAGGGGCATAGAGGCTAGCTGGATGTGTGTTGGGGGTGGGGAGGGAGATGGATGGGAGATGAACATGCTTTAAATTCCTTCAGTTCTTTATTAGCATGAGAACACATACTTATTATTTTCTTAGCTCTCTAAGGATTCTACAATCCCGCATTTTTACATAAAATGTAGGAAACATGAAGGTCTTTATACACACTTGTTAACTTCAGTGCAATAATATATCATTTTAATAGTTATAATATACAGTATATAATATATGTTATAGTTCATTTCATTTATCTGAAATGTGAACCCTAGATGCACTTCACTCCACTTTTTTCCAATATACTTAGCATGGCAGATTTTAACTTCACTTCTCAAAGCTCCTTTGAGAAGGAGCTCAATCTCAGATGAAATAATAGCTGAATATTTCCACTCAACAATGTGGTCAATAGAAAAATTAAAGGCACACATTTCATTGTGTAAAGCTTGTTTCAGCTAAAAAACCATTGAGGTCTCTTCTATGAGTTTTTTAACACTTGCTGTTTCTTTAATGTTGTTATTTGGTTGTTTGGAAAACATCAAAGCAGATGAAATTTCTTTCACATTTTACGTTTCTTTATATCCCATTTATAGGTCTGAGGAGGTGTAGAAAAGCATTGTGTGTGAAGTGTGCTGTCTTGTCCCTGTCCTGTACTGCTGACATATGTATAACACATATTGCACTATATGTATAATAGAGTTTGTGTTGTGATTTCTTTCTCCTGACACCAGGCGACACCAAGTAAAACTCCCAAAGCAGAGCCTGAGTCTCCAGGTGTCTCAAAGGAGAAGGTAAACTGTACAGTTTTTAAAATCAGTTTTTATACACTGATTAATTTAGGAGAAATCCATCAGATATCAAAATCAGAATGATAGGCTTTTTGAGATTTCATACCCAGCAATTACATAAGACATTCCACATTCCACTGCTTGTGGCAGGATTTCAGGTTCAGGTTACATTAAACATTAAAGGCACTCATCAAAACGTTTGTTATAAACTTATACTTATAAAATAACCGCATGCACTAAAGCAATGAAAGCATTACCAAAGAGACCGCTAAAATACATAGCGAAAAGGTAATTTAAATATGATGGAGACCTGAAGAAAAACCGACTGAATTTTCAATAAGATTCTTAGTTTGCATATTGTGTTTTGATTTGGATATTTAATTCCCGAAAATATAAACCTCAGATGCCCTGGAAAAAAAATGTGTAAGAACTGTTACACGAGAGATGAGGTGATTTGGCCCTTCTCGTTCATTTGGTAAATAGCAGCTAATTAATCCAAGGATCTCATCCAGCCATTTCTTAACAGGAGCCAGGCGGACAGCATGGCTGGGTAATTTCCTCCATTCTCCCTTATCCCTTTGGGTAAAGAAATGCCTCCCATTCTTGGCTTTAAATGCATTAAGATTACAGAGAATATCAGTCAGGTTGAGTTCAGGGTTTCAAGGTTTCAAGGTTTCAAGGTTTGCAGAGTGCAGAGCTTAATATATGCACATTGCTCAACAACAGCACCTAACTTAACAACCAGCTGGACTTAACACAATGACTGGAAACCAGATTCCAGCCCATGGAAACCATGGACATAGACATGTTGAATGTCATTATAGAGAAAAGGAGCCATTCACTTGTACACAAGCCTATGAGTGCATGAACAACAGTACGAAACCTGATTCTACATATGGATGGAATAGAAAACTCAACCAAAGTCATTGATCAACCTATTACTATCCAGTTTTCATCTTCTTGCTCTCAATTTCTCAAATTAAGCCTTTCAATAACTGAAGGGGAATGATTGTCCAGGAGTATGGATCACTATTACAAGCAGGCATATTAAGAGTACTGGAGGAAAAAAAACATATTATTATTATTATTTACTTTGTGCTTTATCTCACAACTTTACTGAAAGCAATTTATGAAGGGTTGCAATTAGAAAACTGCCATACCAAGGAACAAACAAATAAAAGAATAAGTATCATACAGCTAACAAACCACAGAAGTATCTAGAAGTATTATAATTTTCACAAAGCTTTGTTCGCAGACTTTTTCATTACAACGCCCAAAAAATGGTTCCATAAGAATCTAGAGATCACCAAGGGAAGAGCATATCATGGCTACTGACATTGAACTGGCCTAAAACGTCTTATGACAGACTCCAATATCTTCACCTCCTAAAATTTCCTAAAATCAATGGGTAAATAGAAATAAGGTTGTGTTTAACTTGAAAGGACAATTAATGAGAATCTCCACCCTTTCATTCATGTGTCTTGTCATTCACACCCTGCTAGGCTTTAGCCTAGTGACAGTCTTTCTGTGGCGGCTCTCCCCTCCTGGGGGAGGGGCTAATAGGGGGCTCAGTGGCCATTGGAAAATTGGATAAGAAGTCATAGTCCTTTCATAGAAAACTAGAATAAAAAGAGCATAAGCACATTTCTTTTTGTTTAAGAAATGCTCAGGCTGTGAATTTGCATATCCTTCTTGCACACGGTGCTGTCCTGTTTGCTTTTCCATGTGTGTCTGTCTGCAGGTCTGTATTTGGCCAGAACAAAGCACACGATCATAAACGCCTCACAGAAAAGCAATCCCTCCCTGTTTGCGGACTGAGCACCTGATCTCACTGCCAATGTGGTTGGGATCCCAGGTACAATAGGTAGAAACCCATCCACTCTCCTCTTCCATCTTCGTATGTGCAGAAGAAAGCCTGTGAGGTGCCAGAAGGAAAGACCAACACTGAGAAGGAGCAGAAGATGCTGAAAATGGAGAAGACCTCAGGTGTCCAGTCAACTCCTCCAACAACAGTGAAAACTGAGGCGCAGGGCGATACATCCAAATCCAAAGAGCAGGATTCTTCCACCAAACAGAAAACAGAAAAAGACTCTTCACCTAGTCCCTTCAGCATGCTCTTCAGGCAAAAGGTACTGTTAAGAGATTTTTCTTATGTTCTTGTTTGTTAGCCCACAACATAAGCCAATGGTGTGGTTAACCATTTCTACGAAGTGATCGTAAAATCCAACACTAGAATAATACTTTTGGATTGAAGTCCTGGACATTTCAGCTAAGGTTTGCTTCTATTGTATATAAGCATATCTAGTTGTTTATCTGGAAAGCCCTGGACCAAAAATAATTTTCTGGAGGCATGTTTGCAGTGTCCACACCATCAAAAAGGCAGTGACAGCACAATGTTTCAGTGTCTGTGATGGTCCATCAGACAACCTAAAGTAAAAACAAAGTAGCACAATCTAACTGTGACTTGATTGTTTTACAAAACTAAACATGGATTTTGAGCAGCTGCAACTGCAGTGATTTCTAGGGTCTTGTTATAGGAATAGAAGATAGGTATGCAGTACAGAGATGACAGAGTATTATAAAAAAATGCATTGTCATGGGACTTGTTTGCTGCTACTTCAAAACACAAAGGAACCATGCATCCCGCACAGAATGTACTTAAGGGAACATATGGAAGCTACTGTCAGGAAAAAAGCAAACTAAGATGAATAACAGAATGTAAACATAAACTTACCACAAATAAGCTTCTATTTTTCTAATTATATTTTCTTTTTATGCTCAACAGTCTTCAGTGAAAGAAATCCCACAAACAAAACCAAATGTAAGTATTTACAACCATGAACTGAAAACACTGAAAAGTTAAGATTACTTTTTCTGATCATATAATACATTGCATGCATCAAAAATTTTATATAGACACACATTGGATATCAAGGTTTTGCCTGATTTACTAAGAGAAAAACCACAACAAATTCTCAAAGATTTCCATCTTGACACAGCTATGTAACTATTATCTATTACTGTTTGCTAACAAGCAAAATAAAATATGCATAATATCAATATATTTTTAAGCATGATATACAAAACTGTTAGTACACTAGTGGCAAGTTTGTACATTCTAAATTATATGTTCACATGAAAATTAGCAGCAAATGTTAAGTCAAAAGTTTTCAGAATGCTGAAAGTGATTTGGATTGTGAGATTGTGTATTTCTAGTGACTGATTTGGGTCCCAGAGAAAGAAAAAGAATTCTAAAAGGAATAAACAAGACAGGCTGTTATTCTACATACTGTATATCACTTGATGTTTTATTGCACTTAAAGACAGCAAAAGTCAATAAGTTGCACCGAGCTTCCCCAGCCAAACTCAGAACCGGTATATCTCCTTTTTTATTTTTCAACATGACACCGAAGAGGAAAATATTTACTGTATTTTCTTCCTGGGTTGGTCATGGGTTGCCATGGTGAGGAGCACAGGATACGCTATAATGTCTGTTCCCTGATCAGGGCGTACAGGAAGTGGATGCTGCATCACCTGTCAAAGCTGCCAAGGCAACCACACCAGCAGAAGCCCCTAAAGTGGACAGCAAAGGTGATTCGGCCACCAAAGGTCAGAAAGCTGCCCAGAAAGAAGGTCCCAAGGAGCCAACTGCAGAGCCTGTGGCTGCAGAGAAGCAGAAACCGGTCAAGGAAACATCAAGCCCCTTCAGCAAACTCTTCCGCCCAAAGGTAACCTACAGCTCCACAAAGGTTTTATCACTAAACCTACCTGTTGTTTATAAATTGAAATAAAACAAAAAATACACAAAAAAACTTCTCATTTGGCCCTACCAGAAGCATTTGTGAGAAATCAAGGTTATTTTAACAAAACCATATGCACACATTGTCCGATGCTAAAATATGCACACATCTGGACTTATCTATTTTAAGGAACTCTGCAAACTTAGCTACACAATTCTAAATCACATTCCACTACCAACATTGTACACCCATAAATGTCCTTTCATAGCAATCAACATACTTGCTGGCAAATATTCACACAATGAAAATAACGATTTTCTACATACAATTGTTTTGCATTACCACACTAAAAAAAATATCCCCACTTTTACATCCTGTGTAAGGAGGGGATGAGTTAAAGCAAGATTAAAAAGTAAAGGCACCTGCAGCTCTCCAGTTCCAGACAGGAGAATGCAACCTCATGGTCCAACTGCTCCAATTCCAGCAATTATTTCTTCATCTATTGTCTAACCACTTTATACAGTACAGGGGCACGGGAGAGCTGGAGACACACAGACACAGACATGCACACACTCAGATCACGATCAATTTTCCCAGAAGCCAATTAACCTACCTAAGTATGTCTTTGGACTGTGGAAGGAAACCAGAGCGCCTGAAGGAAACCCACGCAAACATGGGGAGAACATACAAGCTTCATGCAGACATACTATACATTTTATTTAAAATTATTGGAACCTGACTCATACGTGTTTAGAAGAGAACTAAGAAATGAATGCCACAAGGAGACTGGATATAAAGAAAAAATGCTGTTGATCAGGTGCAACAAACTGAAAGGGTTTTGCATTCAATGTATTGCAATTACTTCTCCAGTTCCAGCAATAATCATATAAAGGTGGAGAAATACGAGTAGGCACAGATTCTTCACCCAATATTTCTGAATTACCTTTGTGAATACATCCCACCATATCCAAATAGTAAACTGTACGTTTCACAATAGGACGCAGATCTTTTTTTTTTCTTTGTCGTGTTTGAAAAATTATTTTGGCCAAAACTTAATCAACAGAACCTGCTTTGTACCCGTCTTAAAAATAAGACTCTATATGCTGAAATTGTAGAATACCATAGTTTAACCATATTGGGAATATTGCATGCACATTACTCAGAGGTCATGGAAGACTCTTAGAAATCCAAAAAAGAGTATCTGGAGGAGCTGAAGAATTGAAGGATGGATGAAGAATCATTGCAGTCTTATTAAAAGTTGAAACGTTGATCATCCAAACACTATCAGAAAGCCCCTTATCCTGGTGAGGGTCATAGCAAACTGGCCCAGAAGAACAAGCACAAGACATGACTTAGAGCACGCAACCTGTCTTCTGTTGGATGTGATGCCAGTCTACGAGGCCTCAGAAAAAGGAACAATTAGGAACAGCAATTAAACCAAGCCAGTTTTGGGGAGGTGAGAAGAACCCAGAGCACATGGTGAAACCCTACACAAACACAAGGAGAACATGCACACCCCATCGGCATGGCTGCCTTAGACTGGAATCAAACCCATGATCCTGGAGCTGGGAACCAGAAGCGTTAACTGCCAGATGTTATCAAAGTCTTAAAGGGAATAAATAAAGCTGACCCAAGCAGATATTTCAAATTAAGATAAGCAAACTGCTTATGTGGGCTTTTTAATATCCGTTGTGCTACTAGAATACTAGAAAACGTTGTTTTTTTTACACAGCAAGTTTTTTACACAGCAAACTATCAGTGCGTGGAATGATTTTGTTCCAGTAACACGTCTTGTAATTTCTAATTTAATCACTATTACATTCCGTGGCATTGTATAATTAAGACATTCACTGCAACACCCCAGAGAGTTGAGTATTGTTTCAAGGTTAAAATACCTCTTCAATTTACCATCCCTACAGACGATAGAAGAAGAATCACCAGCAGGAGATCAGAAGGTAACCGAGGAAGACCAACTCCTCCAGCATGCCATGTGTTTTCTTTGCCTTTCTGAATTTGCTCTTTTTCTTACTTTTGGCCATGTGTGGGAAGAGGTTCTCTCGAATCGCTAATCTTTTCCAAAGCATTTTGCATGAGATGTGATTACAGTATCATGTGCAAATGTGTTAGAATGCCTCATTGTTTCTACAGTTTGGATTCATTGCGCATTTTAAGTCATATTAGTCAAATTTTATTACATTCATGTGCTAAACCATTCTAAAGTTAAGAAATAAAACAGCTCATATCTAAACTTGGTCAAATGCATTGTTCAGTTGCTGTTACTGGTAAATTACTGTAGTACTTTGTACCAAACAGTTTATATTCCATTAAGTAAGAAGCAGATTCAGAATTTACGTCAAACTGATTTTCACCCCATTTCCCTTCCAAAATACACCAAACTAGATTTTCAGTTTTGGATTAATTTGGATTTCGCACAAATTAGTGATATTAAAAATTTAAAAAGAAAAGTTAAGATAAAAGTGAATAGTTATTGCATTTGTATTGTACATTTCATGCCAAAGAATCCAAAATTGCTTTACACCTTTTTCTAGACTGGTGTGTAATTTCTCAAATTGTTTTTTGTTTTTTTTAAGTTAATGAACCATTTCCGCAGGAACAATGAACTCTGAGGCATTTAAGTTGCACACAGGCCCACCAGATTCAAACAGGCAGCCGTGTAAACATTAACACAACTGTAACAGACAGAAGGCTCAAAAGAAGACAAGCAGAGAAACCCTGATGTGTGTCAGATATCTGACCTTGTCCAGTCTACAAGGTCTCAAGCGAGATATCATGTAGACGATTTAGAATTTCGCATGGATATCACTGAGCTGTGGGAATGTTGGACACATCTAATAAAGGGGCAACCTTTAATTCACCTCTAGAAATTTGCCAAACTATTCAATATACAGAAACAAAAAAAAAAACAGCTTCACAGCTGGAAAGGTTTTTATTTCAGCTTTAGACTTTGGATGACTTTTGCTACCTCCAAAAGAACTCCAGCTAATTTCAAATCAATACTCGGACACGTATCCCTTTTACTGTTTTAATTCACGGATTTGATTTTAATCCTTAAATCTTTAGATTCATGTGCAGAAAATGGGAAGGGAACTCTACTGCAAAATAAAAAGGACCGAAAGAATCCATGAACTGTTTTTTAAAAAATAATTATTATTTCATTTTCAGAAGGTTGAAGTTGATATTTCCAAAACCCCAGAAACTCCCACTCAGCCTGAGTTGTCCGCAAACGAAGAAGCTGAGAAAAAGTCTTCAAAATCTAATTTCATCTCGTTTTTTAAACAAAAGGTAAGGATACAAAGGGACTATAATGTATCCTCTTTGTTAACCAAGAGTAAGTACAAAAGTTTTTTGGGTTTTTTTTTTGCAAAATGGAGAAACGGACTTGGAAGTAACAAAATAAGGCAGATACCTTCGTAATTGTTGGTTTACCTCCGCTGTACACGTTCTCACCACTAGATGTCTCCGAAGAACTATGAGGCGACCCTCATAGGGTCAGCTCTTGTATTGTTAATTCTTCGGGACCAAACAACTTAAATCAATGCACTACGAAGGACCAGTCACATAAAGCACAAAAATTAATCAAGTATTTGTTTAGAAACTAGCTGCAGCTATTTTTTAATCAAGGTACTCGAATAAAAGCATCAAAGCAGATGCTCTCCTTTGGCTCGTTCATATTGCGCCTTTTATCTTACAATTCACTTTTGTGATTTTAGTCCCCCAAAGAGGAGGAAAGTGAAACAGATTCTGCGGAAGTTAATGACAAAGTTTCTGATCCAACAGTAAGTGAACAGTTTTGCCTGGAGGTCCCTGGTGGTGGTCTTTGTTATTATCTTATTCTTCTTACTTTTTGTTTTCTTTTTTCGTTCTAGCTAATGGGTTTATTACATGTTTTTGTAGTTTACAAGTGAAAACTGTACCAGTCAAACCGAGTACAAAACGTTCATGCTGAATAGGCGGTAGCCTGAGGGATATATTCCGCATGTTTTCTTCTGTCTGAGTCAAATAATGAGTTCAGAGTGGCTTAATAAACTTCAAATATTTGTTGATCCTGTGACGTGATTCTATTGGCTCCTGAAGGCTCTTACACATGACAGGCGCTGGTCTGAACCCTGACGGTCTCATTCTCATGTGAATTTTCCACGCTGTATCACCGTTGTCAGTTTTTAACCATAGGGGCTTCTTCTGAAAACCACATTGAATGAGCTGCACCCGCATAATGTGAGCTTCCTGTTGACCCCTTCTCGTGATTTGATCTGTGCATTTGTGCACAAGGAATGGACTTGTCTTAAAACCTAAAAGAAAAACAAATTAGAAAAATAAAAAGCGCACAAAAGATGAGATGCTGTTGAAATTCTAAATTTAATGTTTCTAATAATATTCAGTCAGCTTAGAAAGCTACATGTATTTATAAGCAAAAATACTTTTTTTGCAGAAACTGCAAAGTCTTATAAAATAAAAGCAAATGACTAAGTGTTCCCTTTTAACCTTAACTGTGACTTTAAAAAATCCAGTTACATTTAGGAAACTTCTGTGATGCCTTAAAACGCCAAGCAGATATTTAAAACTCACTCCACACCATGCTGTCATTATTTTCTAATGTTATTATATCCAAGAGTTCATATTAAAACAAATCTTCTTTGATTCTGCTTCATGGTTTCCCAAAGGAGTTTATTTTGTGTCTGTCACCTTTCTAGCAGCTAAAAGTAATAATTCTGCATCTTTAGTGAGCATGCTGTTGGTGGTATATTTGAGAGTATGCACAAGTTAAAACAACAAACTTCACATTTTACCAAAATAACTTAAGTGGGATGATAATAATAATAATAATATGAACTTTGAAATATTTTTCCCAACACCTACCAAAGCAATATATGGCACAGATTCACTCACGATGAGTATTATTCATTCTTGAAATCCAGCATTTAATGGGATTTCTCACAGTTTAGGTCAGGTAGCCACCTGTAGCCATGGCTGCATTATTAAACTGTTTGCCTGCTTTTAAGTAACAGCTTGCCTGATGACACAACTGCATGGAAACAAAGGCTGCTATTCTGAACAATCAGAATTTTTCAAGGAAAGATCTTGTACTTCCTGGAAAAGATGACAAGGCATGCTGACGTGCATCTTTTAATACGTGTGCAGATAACAATCGCTCTCATTGAATGTTCATGTGTGAAAGTGTGTCCCAAAGAAGACTGAAGTGCCTCGATTTACAAGAATGACCCTCCCGAGGCAATAAGAAGCTACATTCTATGCAAGATAGATTTGCAAGACATGAACAAGATATGCAGAGTATGATGAGCGTAGCTTTTGTAGCTGAGGGAATTAGTATCTTTGCAAGTATTACAAGGATTGAGAGTGGGTTGCAGGGGTTTAGATGGCAGGAGGAGGATGAGAGATATGCACTACAGAAGGCCCACAGTGCAAGACTCATGTCCGTAACCCTCCGTCACGATTTCTGTTCCATAAACAGAGCTTGATATTTCTTTAGAAAAGCCATACAATTTCACAGACTTTTTCTCGACACTCTTTTTTATTCTCATTTAAGCAGAACTCCACTGTCCTTTTCTGTTCGTTTGCTTCTAAGACCAGTCCAGGGATTTATGGCAAATCAAAAATGCGCAGCGTCTTCCAGATCGTTTGCGGAGAAAAGGGATCCTTCACTTGCTGTTCTCTCTTCTGGTTTCTTTTTTTCTTGGATGGCTGTCCTGCCACATGTGGGGAAAAAAATCTGTAACCCAGGGCTACTTAAATTGCACCCATTCCAATCTGCACAAAAAGAACGTTAAACTATTCAGGTTGGGTCTATTCAATTATTTCATTGTTATTATTGCGCTGATTATAATGCAGTGGATTGGAGTGGAAGATCCATACAGTATGTTGAGTAGCCCTGGTGTAATAAATCTACTGTTAGTTTTCTATATACTGTAAACAAGTCCTCTGATCACCATGTATTTTCCCTCATTAATTTCCTTTTTTGTTCATATTTCTCCTTTCCTGGTTCCAAGAAGGAAAAGTCCTCGACTGCTCCAGTAGAAATTCAGGCAACAAGTCAGGAAACCAAGGAGGAGGCCAAGCCCGTCCCCGAAGCGGAAAAGAAGAAGAGCAGGAAGCCAGAGACCACCCCGAAATCCAAGACTCTGGAAGTCCCGCAGGAAAAGAGGTCTGTCTCCGAGGGCTCGCAGAATGGAGACGACTCAGCGCGGGAGCCCACCAAGAAGGTGGAGAAGAGGAACTCCATTGGCATGTTCTTCAAAGGCCTGGTATGTCGGCAGCGCTCAGCTTCGTGTCAGGCAGGTTAGGCTGGGAGCCGCTGGGATATTACAAGAAGATTAGAAACTAGAGTAGGCCGTTGAGCCCATCGAGTCCTTTTTACTAGTTAGTAGTTAATTGACCTCAGGATGCCATCCAGATATTTCTTGAAAGAATCCAGGGTATCTCCTTCAACAGTATGGCTGGGTAGCTTGTTCCATGCTTCCACAACCCTTTGGGTAAACAAATGCCTGTTCTCAGTATTGAAGGCACTCCCACATATCTTCCAATTGTGCCCACTGGTTCCTGTTTCACAAACTGCTCATTCTGAAACCTATTATGGTTATAATATCCATATATACTGTGTATATATATATGAAATGTGTTAAATTGATTATATTCACTATGTACAGAGTACCTTATAAAATATTCACCCCCCTTCCAATGAAGTCCAATTTCGCTGAATGACAGATGAGGTATACACATTTTTTAAATCAATATACTCGTTTTTTTTTAAAGCTTGAATGCTCAAACTGAGCACTGTTGCAGGTGAAGGATGGTACGTGTCGGCACAAATCACAAAGAAAAATCAGAAACTAAAAGATGCTGATTGCCAAGTATCCCCCTCCTTTCCTTTGGTAAACATACAGTAAGTTAGACCAGGGGCAAAACATTCTGTTGCCAATTCACATATCTCATACAATTACCTCTGTGTGTGTGTGGAGCAATAGTGGTTCCCATGATTTCAGAACAAATAAACCTGTTTCTGTAAGGTCCCTCAGTGAGGCACAACCAAAGATAAAGCAAAAATAACTTTAGAAGTTAGATTATTCGGCCGCCCTGGGGATGAATAAAGTATTTTGAACTGAATTGAAGATTCAGCCATGAAGACTAAGAATCTTTCAAAACAAAGATGTAAAAACACAGATCAGGAGAAGGGTATAAAAACTTTGGAGGCCCTTAATAACCTTTGAGCAGGCTGAAGGTGATCATTAAGATCATTAAGAAGTGGATGCCCTCCATACTGAGTATCTGGGCAAGGATTAAACTGTTAAGAATGACACGGTGAGTCCAATGGTACCTTAGAAAGAGCTACAGTGTTCAATTCAGAATTTAGCTAAGAGCTGTTGTGCAGTCCCAGTCTACTGCTGTCTCTGTGAATCAAGAATTTGCAAGTTATAATCTGCCTTCATGTTCCTGTGGGTGGAGCTCTTAATGGGCTGTTTTTATTTATGTTCAGCTTGATTTTGGTGTCGAACGTGTGCGAAGTAGTGTTGCTAGGTGGAACAGAAATACACGCCTATCATAGTCTCCAGGCATCACAACACCAGGAGTCCTTGTTAGATATATATATAAAAATAGATTTAGCATCACAAATGTTCAAGTAATAGAAAAGGGAGTGTCCCGGAGAGAGTACAGATTGAAGAAATTACACCTCATTTGAGAACAAAGCAAAATGGGACTTCACATTCTGAATGATGACCCCCAGTGTCTGGTATGCACCTTTGAAAATATGTATGTAGAAAGACTCTTTAACAAAAAGCAAAACAGCACCCCCTGATCAGAACCTGATGAACTCCACCCTGCAATTAAGGTGCATTTTCAACACTCTGCCAGTCTAAGTAATTTAATAACCTCAGTCTACACTCAGATCCTCCCAAAAGAAAAGAGGTGAAAAAAAATCTATTAACACTGGACTCTAGACTCTGAATCCCTGGAGAAGATTTTTGGTTTTTCAAACACGTAGTTGTATCTTTGTATACAAACAGCAAACATTAGAATATATTTGTGTTTTTTCTCCAATACTAGGAAGACGTTCATGTATTATGAGATGACATATTAAAAAGTCACTGGGTAAATATTTTTAGCTTTTAGCTGAGAACTGTGGTAGGGGCAATTGTTTAGAATGTAAAGAAACCTTCAGTTGTACATTCTGAAGTTTCAGATCCAGTTCTTTTGTAGCTAAGCGATATGCTTTTTTGTAGTGGAATAGAGGTCTCCGAACGCAGATTCTTCTTTTGCTAACCAGTTGTTGTATTGCGCTATTTGTTATTGATTTACCACTAGGTGGCGGTACTAGCATTCCACTGGAAAAGTAGAACAACGATGCAATTAAAGAAGGGCGTGTTTGTGGTTTTATTTGTAATAATTGCTTACGGGGCGTGTCAGACAAAAGGCCTGTGTAGTGAGAAAAAATTAGCACAGTGCAGTACTCATTATGTCACATAATAAATTAATTTTAAAAATGTGTTACATGTGCACAAACTGTTGCGCATGTAACGTTTCTTCATTCTAAAACAAGATTTGACTAAAGTATTTAATTCCTTACATACCAAATAGGCTACATCAGTTCGTTGGTTTATAGCCCTATGGTTCTTACGTGTGGGTATTAGATAATTAAGATTTAATAAGAATTAATGTGTCAAAATAAATCCACAAATCTCTCAAAAATTAGTTTTCATACTTGAGAACAATTAAATACTATATTTTTGTGGCTTTGTATTATCTTCAGGTACAGTAATGTTAGACTAATCTTATACCTGACATTATTTTCTACCAAGGAGTAGTACTGGACATCATCTTTCCACAGGTGATGCCAGATAATAAGCAGGAATGGACACTATTATGATATAATTATTGGGATTCCAAACGCTGTCTCTCTTCAACATAAGAGCATAACATACTAGTTATATAAGTAATTAATTAGATAGATACTTTATTGATCCCGTGAGGGAAATTGCACTGCAACAGCAGCTTTACACAGACAACACAGCCACAGTGTAACGAATGATACAATAATAATAGTAGTACAATACATACAATACAATCAGTACAGTGAGGGGTGCACTAAAAGAGCTACTCACAGTCCGGACACACAAAGAACAAACTAGAACAGAACAGTACGCAGAAAAATCGTATCACACATATGAATATAAATATAGATGTAAATATAGATATAAATGTATTGCACGGGTCCCTGGCATATATTGCACAAAAAACGGTTGTAAACTTGAATTGATCTGAGGATGTCAGCTGTTTCTTGGAATCAACTTCCAACAGCATGGTTGTACAGCTTGTTCCAGATACTTGCTATTCTTTGTGTAAAGAATAATAATAATAACATTACTTTATTAACCCTTTAAAATTTCTTGCATTAGGAATTTTCTTTTCACATACCCCAGCTTGCTCTCCATGAGACACACAGACGGGGAGAGAGCTTGAGGTCAGAGCGCAGGGTCTGCCATTGTACGGCACCCCTGGAGCAGTTAGGGTTAAGGGTCTTGCTCAGAAGCCCAACGGAGTAGGATTCCTCTGCCGGCTGCAGGATTTGAACCGGCAACCTTCCAGCCACAGGCGCAGATCCTGAGCCACAGAGCCACCACTCCGAAGTGTCTCCTATCTTAAATCCTAAATATACTACCTTTCAATTTCCAGTTGTGTCCCCAGGTCCTTTTCAGGTTATTAATCCTGAAGTTGTCCACTGGAGTAACTCTTTCAATCTTTCAGGATTTTGTTTCTATTAGCCATAATCATGGTGGCACAGCGCTTAGCATTTCTGCTTTGCAATGCTGGGGCCCTGGGTTCAATTCCAGACCTGGGGTGCTGTCTGTGTGGAGTCTGTATGTTCCACCAGGTGCTCCCACAGTCCAAAGATATGCTGGTAGTTTAATTGAGTTCTTAGAAAATTGGTGTGTTGCCCTGTGATGGACTGGCTTCCCATTCTGGGTGTACCCTGCCAAGATAGGCTCCCTAAATTGGATGAAGTGTTTCGAAAATGAACAGAAGGATGGATATACTGTTTCACATGGAAACGCGACTATAGCTATATAATATTGGTCATCATTTCTCATTCTCATTTGCTATCCTTGTCTTTGGCTCACAAACAGGGACCGAAAAGGCTGTCAGATGCAGGTGTCCAGACTGATCCTGTGACCATCTTGAACCCCTCTGAGAAGAGCAAATAAGATCATCACAACACTCGAGTACTTTTCATTGCAAGAGGAAAACAAACTGCTAATACATAAACTCTTACAGTATGTTATACACGTTTAGGTTGTCTGCTGATTGAAGGTGGTGGAGGGGTGTCTCTACACAGTACTGCTAAGGTTAAAGTAAGTGATGAATAATTGGGCCAGGAAGTTTGTTTTTGTGCTGGAGAGGCAGTATGGGGAGACCTGCCGTGGAAAGGCCTCAGGGGTGATTTCATTAACTCAGTGATGTCAGTCAGAGAGGTTTTATTATTAGAGATTATCACATTGTTGTTGGGTTTTTTTTGGATTGAGTTACTTTTTAATTCTTCTAACACTTCAATTGAAGGTGATTTTCATTATGGGGTCAGAGACGTCTATGTCTTATGCAAATGGCCACTTACTGTACATTGATCAATAACAGCAGTTTTTACAGCGGGGTGAAAAACTGGGTTCAGTCTTCAGCTTCTTGTACCTATTGACCAGTTTTTAAAAGAAACCACCTGGCAAAAGAAGAAAGTTAACTTCCTTCTTTTGTATGTTTTTGTCTTTCCTTTAAAAACAAGAAACAGATAACTGTAAACTGAAGGTGAGGAACAGCGAATTATCTGTAAATCTCAAAGGATCTCTTTTTTTGTTGAGTCTGTACTATTTTTTTTCTAAATGTTCAGCAACCATGTGATTGTATGCTAAACCATACTATTAATTTTCCACAATGTCACTGTCAATTGTTCAAACAACATTTAAATTGATTTGTGATAATGCCTTACCTAAAAGCTATTTTATTTACAAGGCCATGCTTATTAATGCGCTAAAATAATCACTCAAGCTCACTTTTAAATTATTAGCATAAGATGAGTGTGTTGTTTTTCTTCTTTGACAGGTAGAAAAAGTGTATGTTGCTCTGGAGGAATACAATTTAGACACAGCCTTGCCAAAGTTGTTGTGCCTCTACGTCTCATACAAGAGTGGGAGGTCCACTGTGCTTTTTTGCTAACATAAATGCCTACTGTTCTTTGAAACCAGAAACCAGAAATGCACAGCAGCAGTAATGAGAGGCTTTACAGATGAGTAAATCAATGAGAATCTTGAAATCAGAATTGTGTCCTGACATCAAAAGAAACAAGAGGCTTGTTTTTAAGTTAGAGAGGAGTGACATGCAATCTTACTCAGTCCGGATGTTTTAGTGCTGTAAGGTACATAGGCTGTGATGTATAAATAAAATCCAAATATATATGGTAATGAATCCTACCAAGTGTTCTGTTTGTTTCTTTTTTTAAAGTCAACAGATTAATATATAAAGAAATTCATATACCACCCCCCACCCCACCCCCCAAAAAAAAGTTCAGGTTTAAACAAAGGAAGAAAACATGCCTACATGTACAAGCAAAATATTACAAGCAATCATGCTTTCAGGGATAATTTAAAGATGCTTACCACATACTAAGCAATTTAATTTGGAATTCAATTCAATTGGAATGAAATGCATCAGTGAAAGAATACAGGCAGTGTCACCGCCAAGTAACAAATAGAGAGGTTAGTTCCACACTGAAAATCAAATAGAAAGAAAAAGATGGTTGGGGTTTTCTTCAGTGTGTCAACTGTTTAAATGAAAAGAAAATTGATTTTTTTTATGTCCTCATAACGTTTCTTGTTTCTAAGGTCATGCTTGTAAGACACGTTTTTTTAAAATTTACAGTTGGACATTAAGTGTTCTTTTGATTGAATGTTGAACTAACAAGTTCAAAATAAGGTAAAAATGTGTTAAATCTGGAATGATGACACTTAATAAAATTACTGCTGCTTTTTATTTTTTTTTATTTGTGTATTTACCTATCCATTTGTGCCGTCTAGGAACGTCCAACGAGGCCTCTCTATCCTCCCAAAAAATCCATATATACAATATTCCAGTAGGGGGAGCCTGCCGGTGTCTTTCATTGGCCCATTCCCATAGTACAAAAGATAGAAAAAATAAGACCTGTATTGTACTTATTGAACTAAACCTTATTTTACTCGGCTTGTAGTAGTTTAAAAAGCAGTTGCTACCATATGCATTTTATTTGTTTTGCGCTAGAGAGTTTTTTAATATTAGTATTGTTACTGTATTCATATATTATCCAGCACACTTTCAGTGGGGTTAAAAAGTAGGTTTTCGGCTACCAGACGAGTAAAACATGAATTGCCACTTTTGAGAAATGTACGTAGTGTAATGTTACGTCTATTGATGTACCCCAGCTAAAACACTTACAGATGACCTGTACTTTTATAATGTCCCAATTAGATACTGCTATAGAAACCTGCACGTTGTGTTTGTACAAAAAATAATAATATTCTGTTTATAAAGCACTGTGATCACCTGATATGATCATGCTTTTAAAAAGCCAGAATACGGGAACAATGTTATAAGAAGCTCTAACTGAAATATGCTGAACGTCGACTGAAAATATGAACTAAATGAATTCAAGTTATGCATAAAAGCGTGGAGCATATGGCCTTAAGAACTTCAAAGCAATGGATAAAAAGTAGTGCAAACATTAGAGGTTTTTATATTTAGAAACTATTTGAAGATCTGAAAAACCACTTGAACGCCTCCCATTTTAAGACAGAATTGACATATAATCTAGCAGCTGGTATTATTTTTGGAAGGAAAAAAAAACAGATGCCGTCTACCAAGAATATGGCCGAGTTCGAATCCGAGGTGCAAGCTTTGAAAAACGCGAAGCCCGACGATTGTACAGTAGGCTGGTCAGACAGCCCGGAAACGCTACGTGCTTGCGCTGGCGTCTTCCAAGCCCTGCCCGAGCAAGAGCACTACTGTTACATATGAATGAAATGCAATCCCCCATTTACCGTATTACTGTCTCCAAGAGAGCAAAACAAAAATGTTAAAAAGTGCATCGCCTGTTACTTTTAGTTTCTTTCAACCTGAATTGTATTTATTTTCAATCCCAAAGGATTGTCTTCCTTACACTACGTGTATAACTATTTCCAGCTCATGACCGCTTTCTTACAGAAAATTATCATTAATTGTACTTTCTCTCAAAGATATATATAGTATTAGAGGCTGTTTAAATTGAAGTGTCTCTAAATTACACATTTTTTCCTTAAGATTTTTTCTTCAGATTAAAAACAAAAAACAAAATGTGTATCTGGTCTTTAATGGTTTAGTAATCAAGGTTAGTTATTAAAAATCTCAGACAAATTTTAAAAAATGCTACTAAACTGTATTTTAAATTTAGGTTTAATCCTCCAAAGAAGCTAACACATGGTCATTTTATTATGTGCTCTGTATTTACAAGCATTTTAAAATACAAACTTAAAATGACTTATATGCTTTGCTGTCTCAAGAAGCTTTAATTTAACTTTAAGAAGCTTTACCCTGGCCTTTACCAATCATGGCCTCCTAATAATCCCCATGTATGAATTGGCACCATCATCCCTCTGTTCTCCTCCCCACTGGGAGCTGGTGTGTGGGGAGAGTACTGGTGCACATCATCCAGGTGGGGCTGCACACTGGTGGAGGTGGAGGGGATACCTATTACCTGCAAAAACTTTTTAGTGGAGTGTCCAGAAAATATATTATTATTATTATTATTATTATTATTATTGTAACGCATATGGCTGACAGATACTGTGTAAGAGCCGGCTTACCAGATTGGTGAAGTCACCGCCCTTCCCTGTAATAGCAGGACCACGGCCCCTGGGCAGTGGAGAGATCTCTCTTTAGCTCACCGGGCTGGATCCCTGACGCGAGAGTCACGGGTTCGAGCCCCCGACGGTCCGAGGCCGACCTAATGTGGCAAGGGCGCCCACCTGAACCCCCATTGCGTTACAGTATTATTATTAATAAGACAAGCAGAAGGAGGAGACTGGTGGAGGACATGAATCTGAGACTGCAAAAACGCAGAGCTTTGCAGAGATCTCTTCCTTGCTGCTCATTAGATCAGGCTGGTAAGTGGCTGATGGGTGGAAATGGGTGGTGATTGAAGAGGATGCTTCATATGGATCTGGTTTGAAAGTGCTATTGAAATTGCAATTGGTTAGGTAGCTGTCATTTCCTTTCAGAAGCCCATTGCCTTGCTTGCTATCAGATAAAATACATGTTAAAGTAGCTGCAGCTTCTGACCACATCACAGAAACACACTCTGGCAGGGATCTTAAACTGTGCTTCTCAGGAACCTGAAGACCATTGCTGAAACTTTGTGCACTGTACCCTGCACTACACTGATATTTCTATATCCTCAGAATCAGGCTTGAACAATCTGTTCCTAACACAACTGTTGATACAATACCATACCGAGTACAAACAAGGCAATAACCTAAGCACGATTAATCACACCGAATAACGAGGAATGTGTATAGAGCAAGTTGCAAAAAATAAGAAAAAGGCGAAGTAACTGAAAAAAAGGGTGATGTAATCTGCTCTTTGAACAGGTCTTTTGTGGTCTGTGCCACCTCCAGTGTAGAAAGTCTCTGGTGTGTGATTAGCAGAAGAGGAGAAGAGGATGTCTGTTTTAGTAATCGGAAGACTTCCCTGTGTTATCGTGTTCAGAAGTTAAAAGTAGATTAAGAGTGATTGTAATTTAGGTGTCTGAATTAGCTTGGTCTCATTTGTCAATATACTTGTCAGAGGCAACAATATTTTCCTTCTGAGATCATTTTCAGTCGGTCTTCAGTTCCGAATTCTAGTTATATGTTTTGGGGGCTGTTCTGTAACTGAATTATGGATTTTATTAGGAACAGCATAAGAACATACTCTTCATACAAGAATTTTAAGGACAGAAGACCTGTGGAATTCTATTATTCCAATTTTAAATGTTTTCTTATGTAGTAGGGCTCTGTTTAAATTGTATAAATAGGGAGTTGCGTCAGCATGCATATCCTGCAAAGGAACAAGAAAAGGTTAATTCCATGCTGAAAAGAAAAGAAACGCAACGTTTCGGCTGTGGAGCCTTCTTCAGGTGTCAAAACTGAGCTTAAATCACTATCTAAATTAGCACTATTTTAATTGTATATGATATTCAGAGACATCCAAAAACATTGAAATATTTACCTCTTTGATGGATGGTGGAAGGGAATGAGTTAGTATTTTTTAACCAATGTTGAGGTTATTAAATTTAGCTCTTAAATTTTACAGTTTAGTAATGGTACTGGGAATGGCATAGCACTAGTCACAGTTTGCATTTGGATGAGCACATAAAATAATTCAGTGTGGACAGTATTTCATGGCAATCTTCAGGTCTGCAAGTATCAGGTAGACGATAATGATCCTTTCTGACTGAGAAATGGAAGACAACTAGAGACAAGGTGGTGACAGCTTTCTGACTGTGGGCCTAGCAACCACAGTTGTCCACTGAGGTAGAAAACCTTCTGCAAGTATACCTAGCCTTTGGGGTAACCTGTCAGCTAAATTAAAGTGCTCTACTGATTTAAGACCAGTTATAATTTCACAAAAAGTCACACACAGTTCAAGTACATTTTTTTTTGCAAACACAAAACTGATATAGTTACAAATAACCATTGATGATCATTATGTTCTGTCACAGACAAATGAGTGGTTGTCAAGAGCAAATAACATTAATAGATGGTTTAATGATTAGAGGGATTTTAAGTACATTCACTAGTGGAATAACAATAAGGGGGAAAGGCTGAACCTTTGAAGCAAAATGTCAATTGCCAGTTGATTTTGCAGAATATTTTTACATTTATTAGCTCAAAATTGAAAGCCGAGACCGAGTATGAAAAATCATCACGGGAAAATTGGATTAAAGCAGTTTTGAAACATTGTTTTCCGTGGCAGGAAAGTGCCTTTAATCTTTTAAAACTCATAATATTAATTTATATGATTCATATCAGTTAGCATCATGAAGTCAGTCACTGGAAGAATGTATTTCGGATAGTGCTGCCTGAGATCATCTGCCATTAGTAATGAGACAGGGCTCTAGCCTGCATAAGTCATTTCAGTGCTTTGTTATCTACAGCAAGGCACGCTTGCATTATTCCAGTAATAGGTGTGATCATTTAGAATCATGCCTTTAAGTAATTGCCAAAAAAAATAGCTATGAAAGCTCTGGAACAAAATGAACATTTTTAGACAATGTCTCAACAAGCACGCATGTACTCTTGTGTCTATTGTGATCTCACCTTCTTGTGACAACGATATAATTAAATAGTTCTTGCTAAAACATTTATTAGTAGATGTTGTATCCCAGAAGCAATGTAGGCTTTTCAGCATGGAATAAACCTTTACT